ATTTCCAAATCTTTTTAAAAAGGTCACCCCAAAATCAATAAATCAATATTTGTATCTGTAACTGTAACTGTATAATGTATTATGTAACGTTCATAGCATATACATGTATTATAATACAGTCATACCTCGGGTTGAAGTAGCTTCAAGTTAAGTATTTTTGGGTTGCGCTCCGCGGTGACCCAGAAGTAACAGAGTGCGTTACTTCTGGGTTTCGCTGCTCGTGCATGCACAGACACTCAAAATGACATCACGCGCATGTGCGGAAGCGGCGAAACATGACCCGTGCACGTGCAGATGCGCAGTCACATCTTACGTTTACTTCAGGATGCAAACGGGGCTCCAGAACGGATCCCGTTCGTATCCAGAGGTAGCACTGTACAGAAAAAACAGAGCTTGCAAATTTTCTAATATTTGTACAGTGGTACCTCAGGTTAAGTACTTAATTCATTCCGGAGGTCTGTTCTTAACCTGAAACTGTTCTTAACCTGAAGCACCACTTTAGCTAAAGGGGCATCCCGCTGCTGCTGCGCCACCGGAGCATGATTTCTGTTCTCATCCTGAAGCAAAGTTCTTAACCCGAGGTACTATTTCTAGGTTAGCGGAGTCTGTAACCTGAAGTGTATGTAACCTGAAGCATGTGTAACCTGAGGTGCCACTGTACAATGTTTTGTACATTGTACACCTGTCAGAGCTGCCCCTGGTCCCAGCTCACAGAGGACCAACGCCAGTCCGTTGTTATATTAAATAGTTTTTATTGAAGTTCAGTTTCTCATTTACAGCCACGGCGCGCAGCTCTACATCTTAAACCCTAGACCGCCGAAGCTCCGTCTGAGTCTCCTCCCCCCAGACACCAGTTTAAGACCCTAGCTTTGCTCCACCTCTTTCTCTGCTCCCTCTTCCTCTGGGTCCGCCTGTCCGCCGGGGTTTTCCCCTTTCTAGACTCTTCTGACGCTGACTCCCCCGAGTCTTCCCCCTCCCTCCGGCGGGCTTTAGGACCTGGTTCCCAATCCGGGCTTTCTGCTGTCTCGCGCGCCTGTACATTTGAACTTGGCGCGCGCGCCCAGCCTGCCACCTTCCTTCTGATCGTTATACTGCTCCTGTCGCTGCTTGCCGGAGGAGACGCTGACTCTGACCTATGGGGCTCTTCCCCCCCACTACGCTCTGGTGGGGAAGCTGGCCCTGATTTCCAGCTACTGCTTTGGGAGTCTCCGCTGGCCCCCTGCTTCTGGTGTGTCCCCCCTGGGACCCCCCCTTGCCCTGGCCATCGGCGCCCCCTTCTGGGAATCTTCTGATTCACTGGAGAGGCTTATGGAATCTCTCGGGTCACTGTCATTCTGCCCTCCGCTGCCCTCGGATTCTTCCCCTTCGCTCTCCATTTCCTCTCTCCCCTGCGCCTCTGCTCCTGAGCCCCTGACAACACCACTTCTTATTGCTTAGAATAAATCTTCGTTTATGCTGCAAGCACCATAAAGTTCCCCCATCACTTTGATTGTGTGATGTGCACTTATTACTTCTGAATATCTGGAATACGGATGGCTCCTGCTTCCAGGATTCTCCAATACAGTTTTAGGAGTTCAAGGTGGAAGCTACACACATATATAAAATGCTGTGAAAATGCTTTTAAAAATAAATTCAAATACATTGAATTTGGGATAGCTCACTGTTGCCATCTAGGGTCACATTTATATTTTGCACTACACAACACATTTAAAAAGTTTTATTTGCAGCTGTATAGCTGAGTCCCCAGACACCTGTAAAAGTTCTAAACAGTTCCATAAAGTTTTTTAAAGTGCTATTACTTATGATTAGTTTCAGGGGACTGTCATCGGAACAGGGGAGAGGGTTAGGGGAATACAGAAAGCCTCCGACGCTGCTGAGGAGCAGCTCCTCGTCCAGCGGTGGGGAAAGGGGGTAGCCAGGCGAGGGGAGGGCTCGAAGATGCGACTGAGAGCCCAAGCCCTCACCTAGCCCAGCTGGCCAGGAAACAGACATGCCGTTTCCGTCGCCCAGCTTCTGCAGAGGGGTGAAATGTACGGAGGGGTGGCGGAGATTTGGGGTGTCTAAGTTCTTATGTTGGGGGGGAACTGGAAGGGGCCACTCCCGGAATCTGCAAGTGACTAAAACGGACATGAACTTTGGAGTTCTGCACTGTAAATAGTTTGCACCAATAAAACCTGTAAAAGACAGGTCAGAGTCCTGCCTGGTTACTCGCGAGCAACCACCACCAGCACTGACAAGTAGCAACGTTACATATACGGTGATTCCAACTTTTGGGGTGACCTTTTTTCAGAACTAAGAAGAATTAGTCCCTTTTACAATATTTCTAAGCAAAAGTTCATCCCGTTATGATACAGGAAAATGGGTGTTTTTTGGGGGGCGAGGAGGAAGTAAAGTTACAACCCTAGTCCTGACTCTTCATTGGATGTCCAACAATTCTACTGTTAGGAGAGATGGAGAAAATGATTTCTCTATCTGCTTTCTCCATTTCATGCATAATTGTGGGATGTAAAAATGCAGTCAAGTACAACATTCCTACAGTGGACATTTTAGGGGATGTTTTGTCCCACTCAGAAGACTTCCTATTTCCTCCTGAGCTGGGACAGACTTGAAGAGGGTGAGGTCTATTGTACTAGCATGGAGGAGCCCACGGCCTCCGTGTTCAGATCAGTTTGTCTTCTCCATTTTGTATGTTGCTGTGTGTTTGGAGAAGTGACTGCTTAGTCGTAGTCACTTGGGACTAACTTCTTTATGGAATAGTTCTAGTTGTTATGTAACCTAATTCTGCCTTCAGGGATATGTCTGTGAACCTGAATGAATCTGAGTAAACTACTTTTATATTAGCATTAATCAGATTCTTGTGTTTATTCCTTTTTAGAAGGGATTTTACCAGGAAGGAATCTTTAATAGTAAGACTCAGATGAGTCAGCAACAAGCTGATTGCTGCGTAATTTAAAAAGGGGGATGTTTGGAACTCTGCTAGAATATGGAACTTGCTAGCGCAAGTTAGGAAGGATATCATTAAATAATATATCCTCTCCTGCCTCCCTAATCATCCCCACAATAATTTTATAAGCTTCTATCCTGTTGTCTCTTACTTGCCTTTTCTCTAAATTAAAAAGTCCCAAAGACTGCAAACTTTCCTCATATGAGAGTTGCCCCATCTCCTTTATAATTTTGTGTGTGTAAAAAAATGGAAAAAGGGAGGGAAGCTCTATTTTCGCAAAAAGTTTACAATGGAAACTTAGAGCTGACTCTTCTCCATCCTTTATTATTTACGGAGTGAACTGAATAATGCTAAGAGGACTTGGAATTTAATTTAATTGGAAGTATAATTGCTTATTTATCTTCAGTTGGACAGAAGAATGAAAGGAGTCTGCCAAGGAACTGTTCATTACTGAGTCATCTGCAGCTTTATTTCCATCCATGAAAATCTGTTTTTTTAAAAGTACATGTTGCCAGTGTGAGGGCCCTGATCCAGACTAGAACCCCAGTGAGAGGGACTCTTTACCCATCTCCCTATAGTCATCATTTGCCTGTCTTGCTTTTGGGTCTGGAAGCTGGGAATGGGTAAGACAGGAGAGCACTGTCAGTGTCCTTCTTTCAAAAACAAGGTACCGTATTTTTCTGTGTATAACATGCACCCGTGTATAAGATACAGCCACCAATCACCCACCCAATCGCCGCTGCAGCAGTCAATCGCTAGCAGGCCTTGCTGCAGCCACGACTTAACCACTTACAAACTCATGCTCGCAGCTAACACTAGTCGCTCGTACCCCCCTCTGCACTATCCGTGTATAAGATGTGCCCCCATTTTTTAGATTTTTCTATAATAAAAAAACATTTTCTTATACATGGAAAAATACGGTATTTATTTGTATTTATAGCAAATGAAACATTTTTTTCATTATAAGGTTTGACACACATTATCGTGGCAGAGAGTCTATATATAATAATAACTATAATATATTATTATATAATATATAATAATAACTATAATAATAAAATAGCATTGATATGCTCAGGATGGCGTTCGCTGCCTTGCAAGAGGCTGTTTTGCCCTGACAGGTGGCGTATAACTTTATTAACTAAATAAATGTCTGTATAGTCCTGGTTCCATTCCAAATCACAGCCTTCACCAGCTGCTGCTTTCCATGATATCCAGGTTCTTCATTTGGTAATGGGATGAATGTCTCAGCTGAGCTGCATTAAAAAATTACCTGTCTTAAGAATAAGAGAGGAGAGCGCTACTGCTAGTTTTTATCTTGTGCATGTGTTCTCTTAATAGTCAAAGCTAATGAGTATAGATTAAAGGTTTTGCATTGAAAACAGAGAGATCAACTTTGTTGCAGTGGTGAAGTGAAGACAAAGAAGGGTTGGGTTGCCTGCTTGGCTTATTTTTGTTCCCTCTTGGGGTGCAAGCTGCACCCTGTGTCATCACATAGATATGTAAAAGTCTTTTATTTTTTTCAGTAAAAACATATTTATTTGCCCAGGCCCGCTACCTGATCACACACACACACACACACACACACACTTTTTGCCCTGAGCTTTCCCCATGAAAACCTGTTCTTTAAAGCTGAATCGGAACAAACATCAATTCAGGTTTGCTCTGACTGAGCTTTAAAGAGTGGGGTTAAAGCTCTGGAGCAAAAAACAAAAAGGGTGCTCAGACTGTGAGCTTTAAATCCTGAATTATGCCTGGAAAAAGCAAATGAAAAGCAAGTGTGGTCATGCTGTTTTTATAATGACTGCATAGTATTATTTTGTTTGGTTTTATATTTTACTCTGTGCTGTATTGTGACTCGCATTGTACTATGACCTGGGGCCATGGTAGGATGTAAAAACTGCACAATTCAGGTTCTACCCAGAGTCTCTTGCCTCACCCAAGAAAAAACAACAACCCTGTAGAGTGAATGAAATGGTTGTGTTTGCAGATGTCTGAAAAGTCTTTCTCTCTCTTTTTCTTCCTTGCACTATGTGTGTTTCTGGTCCTGAGGCAGGCCAGTGTCCTCATCTCCATAAAGCATCATTCCTTGTGTCTCATCTTTTGAAGCACCATAACCTCTGAGCCACCCTCACCACATCAGCATGGCCATCTCATCACGTCTGGCTCTCTGGGAACAAAAGGAAAGTGCCATTCCCCTACCACACTGTTAGCCCTTCTGCATGCAGAGAGATTGGAGCCTTTGGCATGAGGGAGGAGCTTTGCCCTCTCCTTGAAATCCATGCCTTTACAAACCCAATGAAAGCACTGCAAATGTCTCCTGGTTCCCTGTTGCTGTGGCTAACCCATGCCCAATACTAAATAGCTTATCACCAGCACAATTTAATTTAATTTTAGATTTTTGCTTTCCATATAGAATTCTGCTGCTTTTGGTTTCTTCTTCCGGGCTTCTCTGCTTAGAAGTCTCCTCCTGTATTTGCCGGGAGGCTGATTCTAACCCTCCCGGCCTCCCCAGAATTGAAGGCAATTTGAAAAAGGAGATGTGCCCAGTCATCCCACATTACCTCTGGTCTAATGGGCTGGCATTGCTTTAAAATTTGCAACCTGTGTGCATGGGAGGAAAGAAATGGTTATGTGTGCAGCATGGAAAAGTATCCTTTTCACCATCCTTTTCCCTCTTGAACCCAAATGCCCACCTGCTGCCAAAGTTGCTTTACAGGGTTTGCATGTGCCAGTTTCACCCCTGCGCTGCCACAGCTTGGTTTCCTTTGAGCATCTTTTCTGTCCTTGTAGCTCCTCTTAGGAAATCTTCAGTGAGAGCAGATTTTATTTCCCTTTTCAAAATCCTGACAGAGAAGCAGCAGATGGGTGTAATTGGCTAGTGTGGTCTGTGGCCCTTGTGGCAGAGGGTTCTGTGGAATGCCTTTGCCAGCGCTGTACAATAACTCCATTTTTGCTTGTGTATACAGATTAGGGAAGAAGACCGCAGCCCCCCACCCACCTCACCACCCCCACTTTTCTCGGTCATTCCCGGAGGCTTCATCAAGCAACTTGTGCGGGAAACAGAAAAGGAGTCCAAAGAAGCAAAATTAAAAGAGAAATTAATTTCCAAAGAAGATGTGAGTAAGAAAACAACACTGAGAATTCAAACATTCAGCTGCAGTCTCTGCACTGCTGAATCCTTGGGCCTGTCCATATTTATGCATTAGTTAGGTGATAATCTACTTTCCCCCCAAGGCAAATGGATAAATGGTAAATGAAAACAATTGAATAGATTTGGACAATATTCCAAACCCAACACTTGAGAAGTAATACAGACTGACAATTGCTGTCTGAAATGTAAAGGTATTGGCACCTAAGGACAAAAATCAAAAGATATTGGGCCAATATTTTCATTATGCAGCCAACAGAAATGTCACAAAATGGTGTATAAGCTTTTGAGTCCCCCAAAATACTTCACCAGACTAGAAAGAAAAAAGGAAAAGGAAAAGAAAGACTGGCATCTCACACCACCCCTGGGCTGACTGCACTGGCTACCATTTAGTTTCCAATTCAAAGTGCTAGTTTGACCTATAAAGCCTTAAATGGCTCGCCTGGCACCTTTGTTAAATATCTTTAGGTGTCAGGCGAAAACATTCCCCTTTTTCCAGGCCTTTGGCTGATTAAACAATCTATGGCCTTTTAAACTGTCTGTGTGGTGTGTGTGTGTGTGTGTGTGTGTGTGTGTGTGTGTGTGATTGTTTGTTATTATGGTATAAATGTTTGTGTTTTTATATTGTAAACTGCCCTGTGATCCTTGAGTGAAGGACAGTATAGAAATATTGTTAATATTAGTAGTAATATTATCATCATCAAAGTCTGGGGGAGAGAAAAGTGCTTGAACAGCAGCCTTTTCTTTGCGTGGACAGGCAGAGTCCCCAGATCCCGCGCGGTCCCCCCGTCATGTGGAATAACGACTCAAGACAACGTGCTATGGGATTAAATTGGCCACAACTTTATTAAATTTCAAATGTGGGTAGACCTTGGCTCAGGCATTGGGCGTTCTCCCTCCCCAGTCCCCAGCCGGGGACCTAGGGAGCATCAGGGTTATCCAGTGTGTGAGTGGGGGATGGGCCGGCTCTGGAGAACATATGTTCAAGCAGAGATAGCCGCCCCCATAACGCCGCCGCCGCAGGGGAGAGCAATGACGACCTTTCGGCGTACGGTCAAAGCCTCCCTTCAGAAAACCCCTTTAAGGGGAGCCCTGGAATCGCCGCCGCAAAGAGGAAGATGGACAAAAGGATTCCGCCCAAGGCCTGATACCGCCAAAGTTGTGATGTTTTGCTACGGGAAAGGCGAAACCTGCCAATGCAGGGAAATTCCTTTCCAGCCCTTTAACAGCGACCTTAACGTAGCAGCGCCCGCATACCTGTGAAGAAACGTTAACCTGCAAAACCTGTGAAGAAAAGTTAACCTGCAAAATAAGACATTAACTGAGGGTGGGTAGGGTGGGAGAAGCTCTGGAGCCAAGTGAGGATTCCCAGGTAAGATCCTCCCTCTATTGTGTGGGCAGGTAATCCCTCCCCTACCTGGCCTGGTCTCCTTGGCAACGCTTCCCCCAGGTGGGATTGGACAACTGACTGAGGTAGGCGGAGACCTCCAGGTATCCCACCTGAGGGAAGGCAAAGCCAAGCCTATGCTGTTGGAGCCGCTCCAGATCTAGGGGCTGCACGCGTCCACGCAAAGGGCGCCCCCCGTTTTAAGCGGGGAGCGGTCATTCTCTTCCTTTCCCTCCCCACTTTGCATTTTTGCCATCTAACCTGATGAAGAGTTCTGGGGAACTGCAAAGTTTGCACACTATTTTTTTTACATTTTCATTTGTCTAATAAAGGTATTTCCTTAATATGAAATATATTCAATTTTGCTATTGAATTAGATTTTGGCGCAATAGAGGAAATAATTACAATAGAGTAGTGCTGACATCACATATCACCTTGCATTAATTTTTAGGGGAATTAATGTCAATGGCTAAAATGTATATCCTACCCCCCCAGTCCAAATAGCTACTCTGGGTAGCTCACAGTGATAAAATCATAACCACCATATCAAATGATAAGTCAGCCAGTCGCTACAGTTACACTGGTTTGATGTTGAAACATCTATCAAGCAGAGAGGCAAGCAGGATCATGCCCTAAAAACCCTTTACAAGAGGGAAGCTTTTGCCAGACTTTGAGAAGGTCAGAAGGCATGCCTTAGTTTAGCCCCTGCCAATTCATGTCTTACTTTCCACTGAAACTCACAAATAAGATGTACACAAACTTTTAAAGGAGATGGCCTCCAGGTCCCTTCACAGACCACTATTTTGGATGTGCATCTAAAAATGTAGAGAGAACACAATGGACCCACTATGGACATGAATTCTCAGCAGTGAACAGTGATTGGCTTCAGTGGCCTGTTAGGTGCCCACATTGGTTGGCAAATCCAGGTCTTCCCTGTGTAATGTGTGCAATGACCATTAAATACTTAATTTCTGGCAGGAGGACCCAGCTGAGTCCAAATACCAGGCTGATAATTATACAGTATACTGGAAGAATTCAGAGAGTGCTTCTTCGACAGACTGGTCCAATAAAATATGGGAATAGCACTTGTGGAAAAATTGGCACAAAATTTGAAGCATAAAGACTCCTTTGTAACTGTTTGGTATAGCTTTATACCAAACAGTATAGACACACAGTAACAAAATGAAACTAGACGGCTCCCCTCACGTTATAAAATGTCTTGGTTGGCATAAACTGAATATTGCTTTCTGTACAAATGGTTGTCTGGGATAGGAACTCACAGTATGATGCAATCTGGATGTTATTTTGGATGTATGGCCTTAACTCCATCTTCTGGACTGGTATGGGATATTTTATTATTATGTGTGCATGATGTTGTAATAAGTTGTAAGAATCTAATATAACCTATTTAAAGGCAACAAACCCTACCAGACACAAATACCTTTGAAAGGCCCTTGAGATGACTATGTCTCAACTGATGCTGCTGCACTCTAGGAAACACCCCTCTGCTTTGTTTGGAAATGGGCATGACTGGTGCTAATGTCCTTGAGTGTGTGTTTGTTTCCCAGCCTCCAGGAAAGCAGGTTGACGGGCCCGTGCAGCAGTTTGTAATCAGGGACACCAACATTTTGGAAGTGGGAGAGGACATGGCCAACAAGGGACAGCTGCTGCAAGGACGATTGAATGGTGAGAAGCATGGAGTGGAAGGTGAGTCTGAGATTCCAGAAAGGAAGCCTTTGCCTTTCAAGAGAAATGCCCAGAGGGGCCACACCCAGCAACCAGTACTGCCTGTGCCTGAATTAGCACCGGCCACTCCAAAATCAGCACCAGCAGTTCCAACACTGGGCGAGGAGGTCCACTTGGATGCATCTCAGCCTCCTAAAGTTCCTGCAGCTCCAGATCAAATCAAAAGCAGCAGTGCTAAGGATCTACCTGGGTCTGGAACAGAACATGAAAAGAAGGGCCATGTACTCTGGAACAAACACTTTGAAAGCCCAGGAAAGGATAATTGGAAAATGAGGACCAAGGAAGAAGCTGTGAGCAAGCCAGGAAATAAGGCAAAATTTACAGGGAAGGGGAAAGAGCTTGGAGAAAATAAAGAAAAGGCCACAGGCAGTGGGAAGCAGCCAGGAGAACCCAAAGAGAGGCATGTAGAAACCGAGAAAGTATTAGCAGAATTGAAGGTGGAACAGGGAGAAATGGAAGAGGAACTGTCTCGGAAGGGAGGAAAAAGAAAGCAAGAATCTCCAGTAGCAGAAATGAAGGAGAAACCAGAGGAAATTAAGGAAGTGTTCGCAGGAGAAAACAAAGAAGAACTTGGAGAAAGCACAGATTCGGACAAGGTGAGGTTGATGCTGAATTCAGTGTTATGGGCCCACTTCCTAGGGTTTCAGCTGTATATCCCTTTGCTGGGGAAGGGCTTCATCCTGCACCCTTGGTGGTTTTACCTAGTGCAGAGCACTCTGCATGTGTCCTGGACAAGGCCTCCCAAAGATTCCTAACTTCTCCTTGCATGGCTATTTTTTCTTCCCTGGAATTTGGAGTTTTCAAAGTGGAACCTCTGCAGTAGAAATCCCACTTGTTTCCTCTCCTTGGTTCATTCATTCCCTCACTGAGTGAAGATTCTTTCACTGAATGTCAAATCTTCAGCCATCTCAAATCTGAGATTGCTTTGAACATTTGGACCAAATCAGGAAGGAATAACTTTGACTGTGGGAGATCCCTGACAGATGAATGAATTTGGATGAAAAGCAAAAATGATCCACAACTATTGTGCACAATTATTCCCCTTCCTCACTCTTCCTTCCTTCACCCAGGTGTACCATGATGTCTGGTATGAAACAGAGAAAGTTTGGCTGTTACAAAAAGATGGATTCATTCTTGGTAAGGTGGCCGTGGTTTTCTCCAGCCTTTACACTTTGTAGCTACGAGGGTGTGAGAATGTCAAGGTGGGAAGCTGCTCTTTGTTGGTGGTGCATGTGCTCCAGATCACAATAGTGCACATGATCATGTGTGTGAATAGGGGTGCATTACAGCAGAGGCTTCTCCTTCAATTAAAGGGATAGTGGTGGCAGAAAAGGTGTGACCAAGGAGGAACAGGAAAGAATGGCTACAGAAATGGTCCCACTGGGTGCAGAATGTGTAGAGTTGCGTGAGATTATCCACGACCTGAGGATGGCAGGAGGGGAGAGTTTAGGAGCATGGGAAACTGCTTTATACCAAGTAAGACCCTTGGTCCATCTAGCTCAGTATTCTGTACAGTGACCAGCAGTGACTCTCCAGGGTTTCAGGCATGAGCCTCTCCCAGCCCTCCCTGGATATGCCATTGGGAATTGAACTCAGGAACTTCTGCATGCAATGAAAGGCAGATGCTCTACCACTGGGCCTTGGGAGCCCCTGTGTTGAGAGACTGCCTTATACACAATATGGTCAAACAGCTGGTCTATCTGGGTCTACACCAGCTTTCTGCAACCTGCTGTCTTCCAGAGAGCTTGAACTATAACTCCCATCAGCCCCAGCCAGCATCAGTGTGCTGGTTGGAGTTGATGGAGTTGGTGAAGGCTGGCCTTTGCTGGCTGGCAGCAGTGGCTCTCCCAGGTCAGGCAGGAGCATTTCCAGCCCAACCTGAAGACTCTGGGAACTGAACCTGAGGACTTTCTGTCTACAAGAAAGGCCCTTGGACTGCCACTGATCTGTGGCCAAGCCAAAGAGGAGAGAACAAAGAGCCTTCAAGTATTTGAAGAGCCATTTCCCTCTCACTACTCCATCCCCCCCCCTTGGCAGCTACTGAACTGAAGCCAGATGAGGGCACTCCTGAGCTGCCTCCAGGGACAGTCCGAGTCCGAGTGGAAGCTGATGGCTCGATCATGGAGGTGGATGAAGAAAAGGTCCAGAGAGTGAGTTGTTGTGCCTCTCCCTTCCTCAAGCTTCCAGCAGAGCCCATGGCTGCAGCGAACCATCCCTACTTGGTCTAGTTCTAAGGCACCTTCCTTGCTTACTTCAGATACATGGGCTGCCTCTGGACTGGGGAGGCTTTCTCCTCAGGAGTCCCCTTGCTTTCCTCACAGTCCCTGACTTTCAGGGCTAGCCCTGCTATGAAGCAGGGTAAGGTGATGGGGAGGTGCTGGGTGCCTCCAAGCAGTCTTCTTCCTAAACATGCCCTTAGGTGTGGTGGAGGACGCTATCCTGTTGCCCATTGTGATAGGGCAGTTTGAGGGCACATTCCACCATGCAAATGATGAGCAGAGGTTGTTTGCCTCCCACCCACCCACCCTTGCCAGCTGTTTTGAATGAAGCCCAGGCAGTCTGTAGGAGAGGGGGAGCTGGTCTGAAAGAATACAGGCAGAGGAGCAGGCCGGTTCTGCCACAAAGAAAGAAGAGCATAAGAAGAGTCTGCTGGCCCTTCTAGACCAGCTTCCTGTTCTCACAGTGGCCAACCAGATGCCCCAATGAGAAGCCCTCAAGCAGAATCTGAGCACAATAATCCTCTCCCCTCCTAAAATTGTGGGGGTGGGGGAGGGAGTGGGAGCAAACTCATGTGAACAGCAATTTCACCATGGTTGGCAGGCAGTGTTGTGTTGAGCTCTTATAACACTCATCCCCCAGACCAATCCTTCAAAATTTGACTACGCCGAAGACTTGGCCTCCCTAGTCAGCCTGAATGAGTCAAGCGTCATCCACACTCTGTGCTGCCGGTACCAGTCTCAGCTGCTTTACACCCACAGTGGTCCTGATCTGATCGCCATCGAACCATCGTCTTCTTTTTCCACTGGTTCAATAAAGGTACGGGGTTGAGTCTGGGTGGCATCGCTTAACAAGGACCTCTCTACCCAGTTAGGATAATTGCCTGGCAGAGGAGACCTGCCCTTTCCTGTGGCAACCAGTGATGTAATGACACTCAGAAGTGCAGAGACCCTTCATGGTGGTCATAGCCATGCCCCCTTCTAAGATTACACAATAGTCTTATAATTACACAATCATAAAAATAATTAGAGATGCATTGCAACAATGCATTGCCTTTCAGCTAGCTCTGCTATTTTCCAGACATGCACATGGGCAAATCATTTGAAATGCTCCATCATCTCCTTTCAGAGTGACTTAAATTGCATTTTCTTCAAGTTCCATTGTACGTAACAGAACTTTCACACCATTCTCGTGAAAACGTTTTCTGTGTTCTAAACACTTAGCTTTTGAGCACATGGAACAACTCCTTCTCAGTGTTCTTCTGTTGCATCTTCTCCTTGGAGCCCATCCTCAGTGGTTGACTCATCACTCTGAGCAGCACAGAGGGTGAGAAGACTTTGTCTCTATGGACAAAAAGCTCCCCTTCCATGTTGGTTGGGTGGCTCTAGGGTGCTGGAGAAAGGGACCCTGATGCAGAAATAAAAGCAAGTCTTTGATCCCCTATGACCCCAGACCCCTGTACTACTGGTGGTAAATAAAACCAAGGGCTTGTGGCACCTTAAATGACAGCTTTATTCTTACTCTGTGCACCTTTATGGCACCATAAGTGACTTTTTCGTGGCTTTTGCTGCTACAGCCACAACGTTCCTCACTGCATCTCCAGATGCTTTTATGAGGAGGGCTGTCTGAGATGCTTGGCGGAGGATGTTCTTGCACTGCTTAGCACTGGGGTGAGGAAACCTTTATCAGCCTGTGGACTGCATTTCTTCAGGAGCCACCTGCCGGGGCTGTATGCCGCTGATGAGCAGGAGCAGTGGATGTGACTTCTACACCCAGGTGACGAGAAGAGGTCAACACAAATAATTGCATAGCCCACCCTGGGCAACTGCCATACAGCAGAAAATGAGTCTTAAAAGCTAGATAATATTGGTGCAAAAGTTGGAGGCTACTTCCAATTTCTGCCAAGCTGTGACAAGATTCCAGAGGGTTGTAGACCCTCACCCAGGGCCCGTGTTCCAGTGAGAATCAAGGTGTGGCAGAGACTGTTGTGCCTTTAGAAATGTGTATTAATTGCACATATTTACACCTTTAATCTACATTGAGGGAGTACAGCATGGTCATCTCAAGAGGGGCTTGTTCCCCACAACAGGGCAGCACTGGAGTCAAAGCAATCTCTCCCAGGCAGCCTTCAGCCAGCCAGCCAAGATCATTCTGGCTTTTCTCAGCCATCCCAAAGGCTGTGATCTTCCAAATCACCAGTCTCTATTCAAACCTCAGGGCAACAGGGAAGGACAGTTCTCTTGCATTCCCAATGGCCCGAAAAGACCAGGCCATTGTTTCTTCAGCCTGGTGAGGTCATTTTGCTTCGATATTCCTCTGCACCTTGTATTTTCCAAATAATCAAAATCCTAACATTTATTAATTTCCAGGGTTTAGTGGGGAAACCTCTCCCACAAACCCATAACACCATCTGGGCAGCAACACAACCAGTGGTCATCAGGTGGTGTGAAGAACGACCAGGAAGATGGATTTCAATCTGGACTAGTGAGGCCCAACTTATCTAGAGATTTAGGATCACTTTGCATGGATAGGTACTGTAAAGAGTGCCTACTTGCCTGTTGCCTACTTTCTCTGTTGTGAAATTTAGGTGGGGATTAGGGGAGTGCAAAGCCCCTGTAAGAACTTCTAAGTTTTTGTTAAAGTTCTTTCAGTACAGAAACATGCTTCCCCTTCATCTGCAATCTGCCATTTTTTGGGTGGGGGGAATCAAAGGAAGGGCAAAGGTGTTTGAAGTATTGCTGTACAACTGCACTCCCTCTTAATCCACTTAGGCTGAGTATGCACCAGATTTTCTACCCTTATCACCTTAAAGCACATTCTTTGCCTCAAAGAATTCTGGGCACTGCAGTTCACCCCCCCCCCCCCACAGAGAGAGACAATTGCCAGCAGCCCTCAATAAACAACAGTCCCGAAGAATTCCTGGAGGGGTGGAATGTGCTTCGAATGTGCTTTAAAAGTATAGTGTGTATGCAGCTTTAGGCCATATCCATACTAGGCATTTTTTTTGCAGCTATCATACTAACGTCATTTCCAGGGACAGTCCTGTAATTACAAAAGCCATCCCAGCTTCTGATTTGATCCTGGAATGGCCCTGTTTCCCTTGCCAGTGCCACCACTGCTGAGCTTGGGGAGGAGGATGTGCTGCCTCAGTGACCACTGCGAGGGAGCATCCCATTGCCTCTCTCTGCTTTCTTAAAGTCAAGAAATTGAGTCCTAGTATGCTTGGCTGCTCCTTTCCGCTGTATAGTAAACTTCAGAAGAGCATGATCACTCGCGCCTAATGATCCTTCCACTTCTACCCCACTAACCAGGTCATCAACATTGGTTAGGACCAGATCTAAAATGGCTGTTCCTCTTGTTGCTTCTCCAACATGTTTGGTTGGAATCTTCTTCCAACTCTTTCCAAAGTTGAATCCATTGGTTTCCAAACCCTTGAGCTTCTTTGTTGTCCTCCTCTGCACATATTCTAGCTTCTCAACATCCTTCTTAAATTGAGGTGCCCAGAACTGGAGACAGTATTCCAAGTGTGGTCTCACCAAGGCAGACTAGAGTAGTACTGTTGCTTCCCTTGACCTGGACACTATATTTTTGTGGATGCAGCCTACAATGGAATTAGCTTTTTTTTTTTTTTGGCTGCTGCATCACACTGTTGACTCATGTTAAGCTCCTTTTCACATTTATTGCTAGTAAGCCAGGTGACCCCATCTTATATTTATGCATCTGGTTCTTCCTGCCTAAGTGCAGAACCCTACATTTGTTCCTGTTGAAATTCATTTTATTAGTTTGGGCCCAGTTTTCCAATCTGTCTTCTACAGCATTAGCTTCCCCTCTCAAATTTGATGAACATCTCCTCAATTCCTTTGTCCATAAAGGAATTCTAAAGACATTAAACAACAAAGGGCCCAGGACAGAATACTGTGGCATCTTACATGTAACATTTTTCCAGGATAATGAGGAACCATTAATGGGCTCTCTTTAGGTTCAGTCAGTCAACCAGCTACAGATGCACCTATCAGTTACCTCATTCAGCCCACATTTTACCAGCTTCCTTGCAATAATTTCATAGGAAACCTTGTCAAAAACCTTACAAATCAAGATATATTATGTCCACAGCATTCCCATGGTGTACCAAGCTTGTAAAAGAAATGAGTTTTGTCAGACATGACTTGTTCTGTGCTGGGTCTTTTCTAAGTTCTCACAGGCATACTGCTTCTGTTCACCTTTTCCCAGGCATTCAAGGGCAAGCGGGATGGACTGTCCCCACACATTTTTTCCGTGGCACAGAGGGCCTACTGGCGCATGCTTATGCAACGGCAGGATCAGACCATCATGCCCTTGGGCAGGAACAATTCTGGCAAGACCACCTGCTGCCAGAACAGCCTGGAATACCTAGTGGCCACTGTGGGGAGCATGGACAACCGAGTCACAGGTAAGCCTTTGCTTGAGGCAGCAGGTGATGTGCTAAGGAGGCAGGGGCCTCCATGTGCAGGACATCTTTCTCTGGGCCTCCATCATCCCTGACCACTGGCCTTGCAGACAAAGCTGCTTGGTCCAGCATCGCCTGGAGGGCACGAGGTTTCTAAGAAAGGCACGTTCAGGGCATGGTGGGTGTTTCCTTGGGGGAAATTGCATGATGGTCTACAGGCTGGAGGTGGGAGGGATGAGATGAAATTGTTTAGAAAACAGACAGTGAGTGCTTGATTTTTGCAGTGGAGAAAATCCAGGCCATGTTCAGGGTGCTGAGAGCCTTTGGGACAGTGACGACCAGCCACAACAAAGCCTCCACCCGCTTCTCCATGGTCATGGCACTGGATTTCAGCGCCACTGGCCACATCACAGCTGCTCATCTCCAGGTAATGCTTCTGTTGCCTCCCTTGGAAGTGGTGTGTCTCTCTCTGTGTTGACGAGATGGGGACACCAATGGCAGAAGGAAGCTGAGGAGTGGAAGGTTTGTGATCTTCTCCTTTGGTCTCTGTCTGCTTCCTGAACTCTAGAGTAGACCAAGGAAAGCTTGAAAGTCAATTGCACCACCACCATTGAGTGGCATCCTCTGAGTGGTGGCAAGCAGTGGGATGGATGCTGGCATTCTCTCTCTTTTCTCTGCCCAGACAATGCTGCTGGAAAGGATCCGTGTGGTGCAGCAGCCAGAGGGAGAGAGCACCTTCAATGTCTTTTCTCAGATGCTTGCAGGGCTGGATCTGGATCAGAGGTATTGCTCAAAGGGAAGGGAGAGAGGCTGGTCTCTGTCTGATGCACTGGTGAGCATCCCATGGGAGTGGAGGTGGTGGGAATGACACCTGCATCCCATGGAAGTGGAGGTTGTGGGAATGACACCTGCACCCTATTCAGATATGCCTGAAGTGGCTCACACTGTGATATTTTGGGCACTAAGAATGTGAGTGATGCTGTGCTGGATGCAGTCCAAATGCCCATCTAGTCTATCTTCACCATGGCCACCCAGATGCCCCAAAGTGAAGCCCCAAAGCAAGACCTGCTGTTGCTCCTCAGCAACTTGGATTCGGTGATAGAATTCAAAGCATGGAAGATTCAGTTTCAGAAGGTACATAAAGATCTCCTTGTTGAATCAAAGCCAATGGTCCATCTAGTCCACTATCCCCCTTCTAACAGGGCCCAACCAGAATGGATGAAGAAAATGCAGGCAGTGGGGAGGGTTGCCCCCAACTTCTAATCCGCAGAGGAAGGCTGCCTCTGTGGCCATAGCTCAGTGGCAGAACACAAGCTTTGCACACACAAGGTTCTGGGTTCAATCTCCAGACAGATCAGTCTGAAAGAGCCTCTGCCAGTCCGTGTAGAGAGTCCAGAGCTAGATGAACCAATGGTATATGCCAGCCTCCCCTGTTCTACAGAGGTGTCACTTGTGGGGAATAGCTGACAATAGCTTTCTGCCCCTCTCATCCCCCTTTAAAGCCATGCAAGTTGGTGGCCATCGCTGCCTCCTGTGGGAGGGAGTTCCATAGTTTAACTATGCACTGCATAAAGAGAACCGTGCTCTTCAATGCTGTCAAATTTCTGTGAGAGGCTTTAAAAATAATTGAATTGCAACTGATTTGGAAGTGTGGCAAACTGAATTTAAGACAGGAAAAGCGGAAAACCCCAAATCGACAAATTTGTCAATCCATAGTTGATGTAGGCAAAGGATTGGTCTGATTATGAAGGAACCTTATTTCACCTGTAGAGGGCACAAGATGACCTAGAAACCCTCCCAGGACTGGCCTAGGCTCACCATCATTTTGCTACCTGAAGCAGGTAATGAGAGGCAAGTAGGGCCTGGTGGCATCCTGCCAATCTCTTTTGGAGGCCAGCTATCTTACTTTACTCTGCCCAGGAAGAGGAGAGGCAGTTATTGTTCCCAGTTCAAGATTTGGACACGTAGTTCTAGTGACACATACACAATCCATTGTCTGATGACTAGGATTTGAAAGCAGCAGTTGGTAAACAAAAACAAATGTGTTGTTACTCAGGGAGGGAGATACATTTTGTTTTAACTCCTTGGTTTGTGCACCATTGGATTCCTGCTGTGTTTAATTTGAAGTAGCCCAAAGCCTTTCTCTAAGGTGTAAAAAGAATCCAAAATGGCAAGAAGTTGCTGGGGGACAATGGGGAGGGGCACTTCCTATGATCTCTTGAGGCAGCTCCTTCCAATGACATTAGGATGTTTTTCATAACGTTTTGCCAAAATCTGCTTCCTTGCTGCAATTTGCACCCCGCAGTTCTGCTCCTGCCCTGCTCCTGGAGTAACAGAGAAAGCACACCTGTTCGATCTTCTGCATAATTTTATTTTTTAAAGACCATATCATAAGGTTACCAGATTTTTTTCAATGAATCCGGGGACACTTATTGTTCACTATGTACATGTGAATGCTGAGAAAGCTGTAAATCTGGGGACTGTCCCCAGGAAACGGGGATGTCTGGCAACCTTACCATATCTAACCTACTACAAATATCTAAGTGGTGTACAGAAAAGGAAAGCAAAAGACAACTTGAACTACAATTACTTTTACAAGAATAAAGGTAAAGGGACCCCTGACCATTAGGTCCAGTCGTGGATGACTCTGGGGTTGTGGCGCTCATCTCGCTTTATTGGCCGAGGGAGCCGGCGTCATGTGGCCAGTATGATTAAGCCGCTTCTGGTGAACCAGAGTAGCACACAGAAACGCCATTTACCTTCCCTCTGGAGCGATACCTATTTATCTACTTGCACTTTGACGTGCTTTCGAACTGCTAGGTTGGCAGGAGCAGGGACCGAGCAACGGGAGCTCACCCTGTCACGGGGATTTGAACCGCTGACCTCCTGCTTGGCAAGCCCTAGGCTTTGTGGTTTAGACCACAACGCCACCCGCGTCCCTTTACAAGAATATGTAGATGTAGATAAAAATGTTACAGTAAAGCAAAAAATTCTAAATACATGCAAGCCAATATCATTTCCTCCTGCTCCTGGAATACCCCTCTCGGCCTCACCCAGGGCTCAGCTTGCCCTGGCATTTGCACCCAGGGCCTAAACTAACTCACAGCTGTTCCTCGGAAAGCTCCCACAGAGGGGAAGGTTCCTAGAAGCTCCTGCCATTGCCCTAGTCTCCCCCTCCATGTATGCTTTTTATGGGCAGGCCCAAGGTGGAGGGAGCCTCATCAGGCTGCTGCCCACAGGTGTGTCCCACTCAGCAGCCAGCTGCCCTCTCCACACCCAATTCCAGGTGCAGCAGGTTTGGTGAGTTCCCCAGGGGGTCCCAATGATGGAAGAAGGGTGCCCCTCCACTCACAATTCATTTTCCAGCCTCCGCCCTCTCCTCCTCCAGCTACACGATGATCCTCCTGATACTTCCAGACAGCTATCGTATAATGGGCTTCCAGAGTGGGGCTAATTCATTCCATACTGCATGTTCGTTTGGGTTTTGGAGTGTGTGCCATCCACCTGCTCATTGCCTCTAGGCCAGGGGTCAGCAGACTTTTTCACCAGGGGGCCAGTCCACTGTCCCTCAGACCTTGTGGGGTACTGGAGTATATTTTGGAAAAAAAATAAGAAAGAATTCCTATGCCCCACAAATAACCCAGAGATGCATTTTAAATAAAAGCACACATTCTACTCATGCAAAACACGCTGATTCCCAAACTGTCCGTGGGCCGGATTTAGAAGGCGATTGGGCCGGATCCAGGCCCCAGGCCTTAGTTTGCCTACCCATGGCCATCAGTGGGTTCATTGCCCATTGATAAAAAGACTCCGCCCCCTTTTAAAATAATGTTACCATATGTAGTTGTATAGAGATTATTTTTTAGGATGGGGTTGGAGTTCTAGACCTCCCATAGAGCAAGGTTTTGGACTGCCTTTTATTTGTGAGTTGTTAATGCACACATATTTCACACATGTTCCATAGAAGCACAGAGAAGGGGAAGGATGCACCAACTCAGATGGCTTTAAAAGAGATCAAGGACTCAGCTACATTTGTAAAAAAATATGTTTTGAATGCATTATAAACATGCAATACCAGATGGCACCAGAGAGCAAAAAAATCTATGCAATTTTTCATAGCGGTTTTTTCCTTTTTTTTATAATGATTTAATTTCTGACTTATAGCTCCCCCCCCCCTGTGAGTAGATCCACCCTCAGACAAATTCACCAAGGATAAAGCTACTCGAAGGCTACTAGCCACAGTCAGGGGCAGTTATACTTCTGAATAGCAGATGCTGGAAACCACAGTAAGGGTCCTGCTTGCTGATTCCCCACAGGCATCTTGGGTGGTGAGTGTGACAACAGGATGCTGGACTAAATGAGCCCCCATTGGCCTGATCCAGCAGGAGTCTTCATATGTTCTTATGTTTTTAGTTGTCTGAGCAGGACCCCTTGTCCTGAATGCTCTCTGCCTCACTTGGCCTTGTGGCTGGGCTCTGCCTCCTTCCTGTGCAACCTCACGCGCCTTGTGTGTGAGGACAGATTCTGAGCTGCAGCTTCAAATACCAAGCCCAGACTCTTCTTCTGTTCTTATGCAAATGAACTGGAGCTGTGCAAGATGATGCATGCTCTGGTTCTGGAATTCATTTTCCAAAATACTTCTAGTTAAATCCGAATTCAGGAGGAATGGAAGGCAGAGTCAAAAGTTCAACAGAGGAACAAAGCAAATGAAATTGTTCTTCTCTTCCTTGAACACTATGCAGGAGCAGACCACTCATTATCATTTAATTCGTGTTTCCTTAAGAAACTCTGGGAGGAAGGTCAACTTTGTGTGCCCATTTTACAAAGGGCAGAACTGAGCCCCCCAGGATAATGCCATGGCCGCCATGGGACTTGAATCCAGTGCTCTTATACCCAAGTGCCATTTTCAGTTATTTGGGTCACAATGACCCAGTCAGGGGCAGTGCCATGCATTCCATTCCCGGAGGTTTCTCCTTTGCTCTTGGAGTAAATGACGTTTGAGAGATCAGCAGAAATTACTGGCGAATAGACCCAAAGAGAGAAGCCTCTGTTGGATAGAGCTATCCTCTTTGCCTAAAAGTAACACTCTTGGCTTTATTTTATCTGTGTTGTTATAGTTTGTGTAAGCTGCCTTGAGTCTCAGTCTGGGGAAAAGGTGGGGAAATAAATATTACAACAACAACAACCATGCCCAAAGTTTGAGGTCAATGGATGATCTGCCTTGATTTGTCTCTCCATCTGGGATCAGTTCTCCACCTCGGAAGCACCAGCTACTCCTGTCCTGCTTGTGGGCTTCCCAAAATTGACCACTGCTGGGAATGGGGTGCTGGACTCGAGAGGTCTTTGATCTGACCAAGCAGCCAGGTTTTTTTTTTTAAATTACTCTTTAGGCGGCTGCATCTGATGTGAGGGATTTATTTTTTAATGTGCGTGTGTTTTCCCCGCAACTAGGACTATGCTGCATTTGCATCAGATGGCGGAGAACAGCACCTTTGGCATCAGACCGTGTCAGAAGGTAGGCAGCTGAATTAGCCTTCCTCCTCCCCACCCCGTTGCTATATGAATCCTTGAGCACAAAGTATGGAGGTTAGTTTCAGTAGCATTGAGACCAGGTCTCTGCCCCAAGGAACTTGCTTTCCTTTGGGGGGGGGTAGAACTCCTTTGTTGTATTGCCTGTGTTTTGATGCAAAAAGTGAGGCATGATGGTTAGCGTTTCTAATGAAAAAAGGATGAGGATTATGGGAGAGAAAGGAGGGCAGGACCGGTGGTGGGGTAGGATGGGAAAGAACAATGTGCTTGGGGGAATAGTACCAGCCAGGACTGGCTCAAGGCATATTATTATTTGTTTGTTTATTGCATTTATATTCCACTTGTTGCTCCAAGTAACTCAAGATGGCATACATGGTCCCCCCATTTTATCCTCACAACAGCCACCCTGTAGGGTAGGCTAGGCTGAGAGACGGTGACTGGTCCAAGGATATCTAGTGAGCTTCATGGCTGAGTCAGGATTTGATCCCTGGTCAGCTGGGTCCAGGGGCTTTGTCAGTGGGTAGCTAGAGTCCCAGGCCTTTGCTCATGGGCCCTGAAGTGCCTGGTCCTTCCTAGAATCAAATCCTGCATGATATCTTTGCAGCATAATTTGATGTGCCTATTCATACAGTTATATGCATTGTCAAATGCATCTATTTATGGGCTGGTTACCCAAGAAACCTGGAGTGTACATACCTATGCATACCCTGGAGAGGTGTTGCTGCCAGACAAGGGGCTCACTTCATATAAGGCGGCTTCCAATGTTCCCACTCCCAGCCAGTGGCATCCCTCTTTCTGTTGGTGGAAGACCAAATGCTTGGATCCAAGTAGCTGGCTTCTACAGGGTCAGGTTTTATTTGGTTAGAAAGGATTTTGTTCTCCCCAATTGCATGTGTGATTCCATAGGCAGGGCACCACCGTGTAAAAAGCCCTCTCACCTCTTGCCGCCAATCTTGCCTCAGAAGTAGGGCTGTAGGATGGTCATTGTTTTCTTTTCTGTCCTGTATTTGTCACAGTCAGTGACTCTCCAAGGATTCTGACAGAAGTCTTGTCCCTTCAGCAGCCCCACTGTCAGGGAGTCTTGATAACAAATGAGTGTAGTTAATTTTTTTAAAAAAAGATTTATTGCAAAAACAAAGTTCACCGGAGTGGTGATCACAGCCGTCCGTTCATAAATCAAAGATGTCCCTTCTAAGGAGGGTGTTTCTGGTGAGACCAGAAACAGCTTAACTTCCTCTTGTGACGTATTCTGTCTTGAAGACCCCCCCATATGCCTAGACCATATGCCTAGACCGTGGGCTCCCACCCCTTCCTCATTCTCTGAGAGTATACTTCCGCGGTCTTTCCCGCTCTCTGAGCTGCTTCTGTCCCGCTCTCTGAGCTGCTTCTGTTTCTAGCTCCTGCATTTTATCCTTCACTGGCGCACTGGCACTGCTGCCAACTTTCCGAAATGCTATCAGTTGGCATTCCTAAGGGAGGGGGAGTTCGCTATGGGCTATAATCCTCCTGTCTTGTAATTAACCCTCACTCTTCCTGGTTCCTTTCTTCACTAGGAGCTGCAAACTTCCCTTGAGGGCTGGCTCATTTATGACACCTACGAATTGAGAGACCCCCATAAACTACAGACCCTTCTAGGGGGCAAACTTCTGCATGCAAATGGAATTCCCACCCCCCTGCCCACTGTAATATTGGCTCCCACCTTGTAGACAAAGCCTAGGCAGTCGCCACTGCCATCCTCAGAAGGTGAAGAAAGAGGGATATTTTTAAATCCTGGATCGGATTTGGTCCAGAGCACTCCTTGTCCCCAATTGCGCAGTATAACATTTCTCTAGTGTGCTGTGTTCTGTCCTGCTCTTTCGTTATATAAGCCAGGCCTGTTCGGGAGCAGTATTCTATGCAATGTAAGCATAGAAGCAAATGGGCATGCATTTCCATGCACTTAAATGTACTTACTCTTGCATGTGAATGTGCTGAATCTACAGAGTGAAATCCTGCTCCCCTGTCAGCAGGAGATGGTGGTTGGAACATATGGAGAAACACCCATTTCTTCTCCAGGTCCTGGAAATGGTGCCAGCAATTTAGGGAAGGGAACATTGGAAGCAGCCTTACATGGAGGGCTCACCCACACTTAGCTTTGCACTGCATTTCTCAGAAGTCAGACCATTGGTCCACCAAGCTCAGTATTGTCTACACTGACTGGCAGCAGCTCTAGCAGCTCTCTAAGGCAGGGGTCCCCAAAGGGCCCCCTCAGGGCTGGACTATAGTTTGAAAAAAATATGAACAAATTCCCATGCACACTGCACATATTTTATTTGTAGTGCACAAAAAACAGGAAAAACAATACAATATTTGAAATGAAGAACAATTTTAATCAACATAAACTTATAAGTATTTCAATGGGAAGTATGGGCCTGCTTTTGGCTAATGAGCCAAATTGGTCAATATCACCAATGTTCGTCCCTACAACCCAGCCTACACATGGATCTCCCTCACTCCCATGGCCCAGTCTATGTGCAGGCCTTTCATGCCCCCATGCACAGTGGAAGGCAAGCCAAACCTGCGGCCGAGGCTGGCGAGCTTCCCTGCAAGCATCCGTCCTCCAGCAACTCTGGGCATCTTCCTCTCCTGACCTCGGGCAGGCCGGATCCAGGACCGTGGTGGGACACATCCAGCCTGCGGGCTGTAGTTTGGGGATCCCTGCTCTAAGGTTTCAGGCAAGATTCTCTCCCAACCCTACCTGGAGATGCTGGGCATTGAACCTGGGAGCTTCTGTTTGCAATGCAGATACTCGGTCATGGAGCTATGGTGCTTTCTAATGGGAAGGTCTTCTGTGAACAGTAGCATCCTCCCACCACAACTGGTGCCCTCCAGATGTTTTTGACTGCAGCTCTCATCTGCCCCTGTCAGCATGACCATATGATGCTGGGGCTGATGGGAATTCTATTCCAGAACACTTGGGCCAAAGCTTGGATCTTCAGTGGGTAGGTCTGCTGACAGCTGACAGAAGGTGGCTCACAACAACTGTCCTGGGACCAGCTAAGAGGAGAGTCCACAAATTCATGTTTGGATGAAAGCTATACCACATCAATTTCTAAAAATGAGTTGGTAGTTTAAAAATATTCTTATAAAGAAATAAGCGTGGGTTCCAGGTCTGAAAAAGTTTAAGGTGTTGTTTTCTGCATTTGAAGTTTGTGAGCTTGGGAAAAATGGATTCCAGATGGGTTTCATGTAAGGTCCAACATATTCCTCCATTATCTAGCTGACAATTTCATTTCTCAGAAGTTGGAAGAAGCAACAAGGGAATCATCTATCTTGGACCTGGTCCTCACCCACAGTCAGTGGCGGAGCAACATGCTGCAACCCCTGGACTGGAGAACAGGCGGGGGCGTGGCTGGCGCATGTCCCGAGGTTGCATGGCATGTGGCGCATGTCCCAGGGTGTGGCGGCCGTGATGGCACCCTTTCCCCAAATGCTACCTGGTGCGATGCGCTCCCCCCGCCCCCCTCCGCACACCAGTACTGACCTAACCCAAAGAGAACTCGTTAATGGTTCCTCTTCATCCTGGAAAAATGTTACAAGTTGGGTGCTGCAGGGTTCTGTCTTGGGACTGTTGTTCAATGTCTTTATAAATGACTTGGATGAAGGAATTGAGGGGATGCTCATCAAATGTGCAGATTGCACATTTGATGAGCATCCCCTGAGAGGGGTGGCTAATGCCGTAGAAGAAATAACTGGGATTCAAAATGACCTTAACAGATTGGAGAACGGGGCCCAGGCTAACAAAATGAATTTCAATAGGGACAAATGTAAGGTTCTCCACTTAGGCAGGAAGAACCAGATGCATAAATGGGGGTCACCTGGCTTACTAGCAGTAAATGTGAAAGGAACTTAACATGAGTCAACAGTGTGATGCAGCTGCAAAAAAGAAAGAAAGCTAATGTCATCGTAGGCTGCATCAACAGTAGAGTGTCCCAATCAAGGGAAGTAAAAGTCCCACTCTATTCTGCCTTGGTGAGAGCACACCTGGAATACTGTGTCCAATTCTGGGCACCACAATTTAAGAAGGACATTGACAAGCTGGAAAGTGTGCAGAGGCGGGCAACCAAGATGATTAAGGGTCTGGAAACCAAGCCTTATGAGGAACGGTTGAAGGAGCTGAGTATTCTTAGCCTAGAAAAGAGGAGACAGAGATTTCATAGCCATCTTCAAATATCTCAAGGGCTGTCTCATGGAAGATGGAGCAAGCTTGTTTTCTCCTACTCAGGAGGGTAGGACTCAAACCAATGGCTTCAAGTTACATTAAAGGAGATTCCAACTAAACATCAGGAAGAACTTTCTGACAGAAGAGCTGTTCAACACTGGAATGTTCTTCCTTGGCAGGTAGTGGACTCTTCTTCCTTGGAGGTTTTTAAACAGAGGTTGGATGGTCATCTGTCATGGATGCTTTAGCTGAGATTCCTGCATTGCAGGGGGTTGGACTAGAGGACCCTTGGGGCTCCCTTCCAACTCTCCAGTTCTGTGATTCTATGTCTGAACAGGCCAGTGTCAGTTGCAGATTTGGAGAATTCAAGTTTCAGGTGGTGTCAGGCTGCCAGGCGAGGCTTACCTTCCCCCTCTCTGTGGATAACAGCATGAAGCGAAAGCAGTCTTTTGCCGCAGTAGAGAGGTTTATTGAACACAGCACAAACATAGTGTCCATTCTTATTGTGCAGGTGCTCCCAATTAAGTTTCTCCCACTTCCCTCTAGTTACTTCCATCTTCCTGTCTCCTCACCACGTGATCCCTTCACCACTGAGCCTTCTGAGAAGCTGCCCTATCTGGTGGCCTGGCTCTCGGGCTCATGGGCTGCACACTTTCTAGTAAGGGAGATTCAAACAGCTCTCTCTCTTCCCATTCCTCTCCCCTTGGTTGCTCTTCTCCCAGCTCCGTCCAACTGTCAGTTCCCGAACTGTGTCCTTCCATGAACCATTGCTCTGGGTCGATACTATCCTCCTGCTCCAGAGGAGCTTCAGGATTAGGCCCTTGCGCAGAGGGAGAGGGGGCTCACACCATTCTTCCTCAGAGCAATACCCTTTAGTCTGGTTCCTGACATCTGGTTTGTTTTTTTCACATGTGAAGATTTTAATTGTCTCCCTGGCACATTTGATGTCAGCGTCTGATTGTTCACAGGGAAGAAATAGGGAAGGTGAGAGATTAGTGATGCAAATATGCACTTAGGCCAATGTAGGCTCCAATCTGCATCCCATTTATGCCAGAGCTGCTTTGAGCTTCCCTGCGGAGTGAAATGACTGGCTTGTGCCAGGACTCCTTCAGTTTTTTTTCTGTTATCATTGAGTCTGCTGCTGTCAACACCCTCTGTGTGTCTGGGCTGGGCGACCCACCTTGAACTTGTGCTGTTAGTACTTTCCACCATAGCCCGATTTATTCTGCTGACTTGTGCAGAAACACTGAGTGGAGGATTTTGTGTGTCTGGAGGGACACTGCAGTGGGGGAGGCAGACTCTAAGCACCACTGCATGAAGAATCCCCCTGAAAGGCTGTGTCTTTGCACTTTTCCTTGCTTGGCTGTAGAGAAATGCGCAAGAATGGAAGGCAGACTACAAGGACACATGAAGAGGGTTACAGTGGCTTTCTTAGGCAGGCAGGGAAGATGGGGGAAGGGGTGAGCACTCCCAGCTATTGTAGGTCTCCATTTCCCAGATACTGTCCTGACCCCCACCCCAACTGAAGTTTCCACAGGAGGCAGTGATGGGACATGGCCACAAATTTGGATGGCTTTAAAAGTGGATTCAACAAATTTATGGAGGAGAGGGCCTTGCTCTGCCTTCACAGTCAGAAGCAGCCATGCTTGTGGGTTTCCCATTGTCATCTGGTTGGCCACTGTGAGAACAGGATGCTGGACTAAGTGGGCCATGTTCCAGCAGGTGGGCCTGTTCCAGCAGACTATTCTTTGGTTCTTACATTATTATTCCTTGGAAGCCACCCAGTGGCAGAGATTTAGAGAGGAGCCTTGCTGCTTGTGTCTATGCCTTTACTGCCAAAGGCACACAGCCAACTAACCTGCAAATCTGGAGGAGTGAGGCATCGGGTCTTTCAGCAGGCAATGCTCTCAACCCCCAAAACAAAACAGAGGCGTGTCACTGAAAGTAGCTGGAGTGAATGCCAAGCTAGGAATCATGCTTCTTTTCAAACCATGTTCTGAAGTTTGTTTCATGATCAGAACAATCCTCTCAAGTGATTGTTTTCACCCTGCTTTAAAAGCAACACTTCAAAGAATGGCTCAAAAAAATAAATACACACACACACACACACACACACACACACACACACACAAAAACTTAGCAAAACAGGATTCCCAATGAAATGGTCTGCCTCACAGCCAGAGGCTCTACTCCAAGGAAGCACTGAGGAGGACTGTGACAGATTGGAGCTTTGCTGTGTGTTCTCTGATGTGGTGACACATGCTGTCTGTTGAAGTTGAATGGGGAGGGGCCCTTAGATGTCTGAAAGAGTTCTGGGACTTGCTGGTTAATGGGATTTTCTGCCGTCCTCAGCAGATGCTCAGCCCTTCTGTCTATTCCAGCTGTAGTGTTTCAGAAAGTTGCTTTGAGCCAAACACACTCCCCTTTGAAAGCTTCAAGATCTCAAGTCTCAAATGTTTGGTAGCCAAGAGCATGGCTTAATTAGAACTGGAAACACTATTGAAAAGGTTTACTTTTCAAATACATTTAAGTAGGAATTACTCAGCCTTGGAGAAGCCCCTTCCTTGGGTCTCTGTCACTCACCTGTGACTGTCAGAGTCACTCACCTGTCGGTCACTCATCCATTCTGAATGGGTAGAAAGAAGCACAGAGCTATGACATACAGAGAGGCATCAGGCAACCTCACTGGAGGAGGACTGGTGATTCTGGCCATGTATCTGAGTCAGTAATCACAACGCAGAGAATTGCCAGAGTTAGAATTAATCACCCTAGCAGAGACTGCTTGGAAGTACGGAATTCAACAACAATCAATCATGCAGAGATGCAACGGAGAACCTTTTCTGAAATTAGAAAAAGCTGCCCAGTGCTGGGGAATGACCCCAGTCATGTCCAGTGTGGGAGAGACATGGCAGGATTAACCACCCTGTGCTCTTTCAGCAACTTTGTCTGTGGTCAAGAGCTGTAGGTGCTCATCAAATGGAAGCCCTACTTCCATCTACTGCTCTGAAGTAGGGTCATCTCTGCCTCCAGGTTTTCAACTTTTATGCACATCTTCTGAAAATGCACAAACCTTTTCTCTTGTATGAATGATGCCAGGTTTTAGCTCACTGGTTCCTTTATTTTATCCAGTTTCCTGTTTGGAATCTTAATGGCTCCCCCTTTGTAAAAGCCTTTCCTCAGAAAAGTGGATAAGGCAAAAGAGTAGACCCATATATTGTAGGTGCCTTGGAGGGGTCATGTTTGCCTCCACACAACCATGTGCAGAAGAGTCATAGTTGCTCCTGACAGGGGCAGCCTTTGACACCACCACCACCTCCCCAGGAGAACACAAAGCTAGCGTATTTAGTAATGTTTTTATTGGGAGGAGGAATAAGGAATTGCACCTCCTCCCAACTGCTTAGCCCAGCCATACTGAATTCTGTCTGTTGATCACACTCAAACACAAGGGACTAGGGATGGAGGAGAAATGTGATTCAATTTGCATTTAAAGGCAAACCTACTTAATTTGCACTTCCCAAAACAAAATGAGTACTGAAGTGCAGCCATTGTTTGAAATCCACACTTGCTGAATTTTGCAAGGTTGTCCTTGTAATGGGTATGAGTTACTCGTGCGTAAACTGCCGCCTCTCTAGGCTAAATTGCCTTGTTAAACCGTTCTGACTGCACAGCCCATCTCAGCGTGGCTGCCTCAGTCGCTAGCAGAATCTGTCAGTGGGCGTTTCTTAAACCTCTTCCAGCATAAAAGCTGTTTGACTCCCAGTCTCCTCCTCCTCTCACTGCGCGGGAGTCTTCTGTGCAGGGAGGGCGTGGGTAGTGGAGGACCTGTGCTCTCCTCACTGATGTCCAGTGAAGAGTCCTGGAGCTCTCTCTCCGCTTCCCCCATCTGCCCCCCTTTATCCCTGGTGTTGCGCTGATTTCCTTCCCCCTCTACCGAGCTGCTTCTCCCCCTGGTGCTGGGTCCTTTGCCAGCATCATCTGGGAGCCTCCCCTTCGCCTCTCGCTCTGATGTCAGTTCCCTGACAGTCCTCCAGTCAAGCCATGTGTCCAGAAATGCATGTATTAGGGAAATAACATACAGAAATGTATTACATTAATTTAAATTGTTTTACAAAAATACATTAGGCAAGTTATACATACAAACTATGTGCATGTTATGAGAAATTTGCACTAAAAATGCTGGTGATTTTTTCTTTTAATTGCAAACTGATGTGGGAATGTGGCAAAATATTTTTAAGGTGACATGGAAATGAGGAGAGCTAAACTTAAGACATGGGTATAGCCAAGGAGGGGCAGATCCAAAAATATTATTGAAAAGCATTGAAAGTACTTAATTATCTGAGGTTCTGCTCCCCCTCAGCAGAAGCCTGGCCCCCACAATGTCTTATTTATGGTGTATTTTTGCCTGTGACTTAAGAAACTGAAATGGAAAGATTCTACCATCCTTACAAGGGAAGTAACCTAGGCACTATCTCTCATTCAGTTCTGTAGCTTGGGGGTTCCTTCTACTGGAACCTTCGCCAACCTGGGGCTGGAAGCTGCAGGAGGGGAGGAGAGGGCTCTTGAGCTTGGGTCCTGCTTATGGGTTTCCCTTTGGGGCATTCACTGTGGGAGCAGGATCCTGAATTAGATGGGTCATTGGCCTGACCCAGCAGGTTTTTCTTCGTTTCCTATGTTCACATGCTGGTTTAAGAATAATCAATGTAGGTGATGTATTTTGGAGAGGTTCTGGCCCTGTCAGGTTCTTTTTAAGGGTGCTTTGTATGCTGCCATTCTTTCTGAAGGCACCTTGGTATCTCTGGTCCCAACCCATGCCCTCATGCCATAGACCTGGCTGTTCCTTTCTCTCCTTACAGGCTGAAGAGAAGCAGAAGGCCTCAGCTGCATTTGCTCAGCTCCAGGCTGCCATGGAGATCCTGGGAATTGTGGTGGAGGAGCAGAAGGCCATCTGGCGAGTTTTGGCCGCCATCTACCACCTGGGTGCTGCAGGGGCTTGCAAAGGTAAGACTAACGGCTGGCAAAGGTGGCATTTTGGGCTGGGTGGTTCTACAAGGAGACTGCTGTGCTGGATCCATCTGCTGCAGCCTGAGAAAGGAGATGATGGAGATGTCCCTGTCTCTCATCTCTGCTTTATAGGCTGCATGGTGCAGCATTTCAGAAAATCAAACCATCTGCCTGGGCTCATTTGTCTGAATTCCCTGCCCCCTTTTAGCCTATCCTTCTAGGAGCATTGCAGAAAGTCAATGGATCTCAGTTCAGCCTCTCTGCTTGAGAGGCTGCTGTTTTCATATAATGCTGGTCTTGCACAAGGTCTGCTCTTGGAGATCCCTGGAGTGGGAGGAGAGCCAGAGAAAGTGCAAGACCCTCCAATATGTGTTCTGTCTGAGCCAGCAAGCAGAGTGTGCCACCCACTGCAGAGTTGGCAAAATGTTAAGCCACTTGCTATCTTACATAGAACCATAGAATTGTAGAGGCCTGCCTCATGGAAACAAGCCTGTTTTTTGCTGCTCCAGAGAGTGGTACCCGAACCAACAGATTCAAATAACAAAAGAGGACATTCTGATTAAACTAGGAAGAACGTTCTGAAGATAAGAGCCATTTAACAGTGGAACAGACTCCTTGGAGGCTTTTAAACAGAGGTTGGATGGCCATCTGGCATGGATACTTCAGTTGAGATTCCTGCATTGCAGGGGGTTGGACTAGATGACCCTTGGGGAGGCCCTTTCAACTTTACAATGCTATGATTTCCTCAACACCCCTCAGCCTCCCAGGCTGCTCACACTTCCTGATCTGAATATGCCTCCTAGTAGGAGTTCCCTTATTGTGGCTTTCCCTGGGCTTTGAAGAGTGGTTGCCTAGGAAAGCTGCAGAATGCAAATCCCTGGGGTGATAATTTTAGAATGAGAGAAGGGACTCTCACAGCCACCCCTTGGCTCCCTTAAAAGTAAAATGTGGGCTAAATATTCAGCACAACAGTAGTCCAAGAGGATAGTAAAATCATACAAGGATCATGAAAGTGTATTATCAGAGATGGCTACAAGCAATGCTTCTGTTCCAGAGGCAGAGTCATGTGCTGCCTATGCACTGGTGGAGGAAGAGGGGACGGAGGGAGCGCCCCGCCCCCGGCAGAGCAATCCCAGTGGGGTTCCATCGTGGTTGCCCCCCCACCCACACTGGGCGCCCCACCCCCACAGGCGGCATACCGCGCCCCCAGGATGCGTGCCAGCCCTGCCCCCGCCTGCTCTCTGTCCTCAGTGCCGGAGCATGAAGCTCTGCCACTGTGCCTATGCACTTGTTTATCCATCTGGCTCCATTCTGAATTTGCACCCTCAGCCTTCATTACCATTTTATTACAGAAGTTCAAAGGGGGACAGTTTTAACGGTCCAGTGGGGGCACTCCGAATATTATGGAGAACTAGTGGGAGCGCATTTACCCATTTTAGTCCGGTGGTACTACAAAGTTTCCCTAGTTGTACCTTTACCTCTTGATTCATGCGCTCTACTTGTCCTGATGAGGCTGGGTGGTAGGGTGTATGGAGTTCCCACTTTGGAGCTCGGGCCACCTGTTGGACTACCTCCGCAGTAAAGTGGGTTCCCCTGTCACTGTCCAGTCGACAGGGTACTCCATACCAGGGAATGATATCTTGTAAAAGGGCCCTGGCGAGTACTGAAGCGGTTGCCTTCTTGCAAGGGAATCCCTCCACCCAGGAGGAGAATTTGTCCACTATGATTAGGGCATGTTTGAACCCCTGACACTGGGGTAAGTCGATGAAATCCAGCTGTAAACTCTCAAAGGGAACAAAAGCCCAAGGCCCGGCTCCTGGGGGTCTTTTAGGCTCCCGTTTGGGGTTGAAGTTTTGGCATGTTACGTAATTCTTTGAGGCTGCTGTGGCTGCAGCCGCTATCCCTGGAGCATACCAGCACCTTTAGTCTTCCCTTTCCCCAATGAGTCTGTTGGTGGAGGACCCTCACAAATTTTGGAGTCCAGGCTTTTGGCATGACGGTTCTGCCGTCTGGGAGGAGCCAGACGCCATCCGTTTTGTTGGCGCCCATGGATTCCCACATTGTTTTTTCCTCTTCAGTGGCCGATTGGTACATTTGTTTGAAGTCAATGTCAGCAGGGAGTTGTATACCTTGGAACTCAGTCTCATCCTCTGGGGGATGTAGTGAGGCCATTTGGGCTGCCCTGTCGGCTTGCCTGTTACCTTTGGAGACTGAGTCCCTCCCCTTTGTATGTGCTTTGCAATGGACGACGGCTATTGCTTTGGGCATGTGGATGGCTGTTAGTAACCTTTCCACTAGGGCTTCGTGGGAGATCTGAGAACCAGCTGCGGTCAGGAAGCCCCTTCGGAGCCATATCTGGCCAGTTGTGTGTACTAGTTGTATGTACTAGTCTGAAGCAATATTTGCTGTCAGTGTAAATGGTTGTCCTTCTTCCTTCACTAAGCTCACAAGCCCTTATGAGGGCAATTAACTCTGCCATCTGGGCACTATATTGAGGGTTTATAGGGTTGGCTTCTAAGACTTCGAAGTCAGAGACTACGGCATATCCAGTCTTCCTTTCCCCGTTTATGACTTTGGAATTGCTGTCTGTGTAGAGTATTAGATCAGGGTTTTCTAGAGGGAGGTGGTCTAAATCTTCTCGGGGTTTCTCAGCTTGGCAGACTATCTTTGTACAATCCTGGTGCAGGGTGCCATCATCTGGGAGGGGTAGTAGGGCTGCTGGGTTTAGGGAGTTGACCCGTTTAATAGTGACATTGGATGGAGTTAACAGGAGGGCTTCATAATGGTTTAGACGTGGGTTCAAGAAGTGGTGGCAGCCCCTTAGAGTTAGAAGGGTTGAGACCGCGTGGGGAACATGGATTGTGATCTTATGTCCCAACACTGTCTCTTGAGCCTTTTGAAGGAGGAGTGCAGCGGCAGCAATGGCTCTCAAGCAACTCACTGCTCCCTTTGCAGTATTGAGTTGTAGACTGTAATATGCCACTGGCCTTTCTTGATCTCGGAAGGGCTGGGTAAGAACTCCTGAGGCCACCCCCATTTGTTCATGAATGAATAGGTTGAAAGGGATGCGATAGTCCGGGAGGCCCAAGGTGGGGGCAGATCGTAATTCCCTCTTAAGGTGTTCAAAGGTGTTATAGGCTTCCTCTCCCCAAACCAGTTCATCAGGATGATCTTGGCGGGTCATAGTGGACTGGGGTTTAGTTATTTCGCTGTAGCCGGCAATCCAAGCTCGGCAGAAGCCTGCCATACCAAGGAAGCCTGGCAATTGTCTCTTTGCTTTGGGGAGGGGAATTTTGGTGACTGCCTCTATTCTGTCAGTTGCTAGGCTTCGGGTGCCTATCCCCAGGATATGTCCGAGGTATTTTACTTCCTGCTTGCAGTATTGCAGCTTCTTAGGGGACACCTCGTGTCCTTTATGTGCTAGCTCGAGAAGGAGGTGTTCTGTGTCTAATTTACACGCCTCCTCACTGGTAGAACATATTAAAATGTCACCTACATACAGCAGATAGGTAGACCAGGCAGATGTACATCCTGTAAATCCTGGTGTAATATTGCAGAAAATATAGCGGGCGATTCCTCATAACCCTGGGGTAGTCTGGTCCAGGTTAGTTGACTAGGTCCCCAGGTGAAGGCGAAGAGGAATTGACTCTCAGGGGCTAGAGGGATACTGAAGAATGCAGAGCATAGATCTGCAGCGCTGTACCATGTAGTTCCTGCCGGGATTGCATTTAGAAGGGAATTTGGGTTGCCCACCACTGGGTGGTGTGGTATCACAAATTGGTTGACGAGTCTCAGGTCCTGAACAAAACGGTAACAAACTGGTGCCCCTTCCCCCAAAGGTTTTTTGATGGGGAGTACGGGGGTGTTACAGGGTGACGCGCAAGGAACCAGGATCCCCTTTTCAAGGAAATCCTCAATCATAGGCGTCAATCCTTCTATGGCTTCCTTTGGTAAAGGGTATTGTTTAGTGCAAGGGAAAGGAAGGTCTGTTCTGTAAGTAATCTTAACCAGGGTAGCCAATTTTAGAAGTCCTACTGAAGTGGACTCAGTACCCTATAGCCAAGGGGGCATTTCATTCTCTAGATCAGGAGGGAGGTCCGGAAATTGGCGTTCCAATTTAGCATCTTGCACTATTCCTTGGAAGGTGGGGACGGACTCTTCAGGCATGTATAGATATATGCCATCTCCCGAACACTTTATTGTGGCATTTAATTTGCAAAGTAAGTGTGCTGGTCCCGGGGGGAAGGTTACTGTTACCGTAGTCAAAGTTCAGTCCTGAGTCACTAGCCTGGAAATAGTCCACAAGGTGCGAGGCGAGGTCCGAAGCAGGGAGCCGGGCGGGGACAGGAACACTCGAAGATCAGAAGCAGGAAGCCGGGCGGGGAACAGGAACACTGGAGGAACAGGACTGGATGCTGGCCGAAACAGCTCTTCAATGACGACGTTGCTCCCGCAACCTGGGACCGGGCTGACTGGCCTTTATCTTCTCTGAGGCCAGGGGCAGTCCCGGCCCCCAGGAGCCCCGCCTCTCCTGGCCTTAAGGCGAGCACTCCTCCTGGGAGAAACCAGTTCCCTTCGCCTCTCTGCCCTAAGCCTCTGCAGTTCAGGAGAGGCTGAAGGGTTACTGGGCCCAGGGGGAGACTCACCTGCAGGCACTGAGTCCTCAACCACCTCTGGGGCCAGAATGGATTCACCTGGTGCCTGCTCCTGAGGATCCGGCACAGGTGCAGGCTCCTTCAGAATCAAGGCCCTGCCCCAGTTCAGCCGGCCCTGGAGGCGGGGACTCCTGTGCCGGCTGGGATTCCTCCGGTTCACTCTCAGAATCGGAATCCCAGGCCATCACAGTAAGTCTCTGCCAAGGAGGTTTACTGGGCTGCTAGTTAAGAGTAAGGTGTGTTCCGCCAGCAAGGGACTGACCTTAGCTGGGTGGAAGAGCGGACAAGTGTGGGGTATTCCGTCCAGCCCCATGACCTTTCTGGTCTCTGATCCAGGTTCCA